TCTATCTATCTATCCCAGTTTATTCCTTTTCATATAGATATCTATTTCAGTCTGTTCATATCTATCTATCTATCTATCTATCTATCTATCTATCTATCTATCTATCTATCTATCTATCTATCCCACTTTATTCCTATTATATTAGTCATAAGCAGAAGTCCTTAGAGAAATTAATCAACTTTTTTTTGTAAAACAGGACCCCTAGTTATCAAAAATCTGCTCTAAATCGTAAAATAAAAAAATGCAATAAAACGAGGACATTACTTAATTCGAAAATGCTTTAATTGCCTAATGAATAATGAATGATACAAGATTTGTCATTTATATTAGATTTTACTTATAATGCTTTATAAAGATTTACATCTTTTATAATGTATTAATTTGAACGGGTTGTTTGTTATTGTTATTGAGTAAAATGGAAATCATAAATGGAAAACCTTACTACAATTCAGTGACTTTCCACCCGGAGTATTTTAAAAAGAATTTTGAATTTTGTGTGTATAAACGTGCCGAATTTCGCAAATACAGATGTCCATACACGATATTATCAGAAAATAAGAGCGATAACTATATTAAATTTAAAGCAAAAGTACCTAAAATTCAATAATACATTAGATTACAGAGAATATTTTCCAAAATTTTAAAGATTATTGAGTAGTTAAAGACTTATATAAAATGGCACTTTCGTTATATTTCTCAAGTAATTTTTACAGATATATCTCCGTAGAAATATTTGTTAAATTTCCGATTGTCAATCAAGGTGTCGTGCTGTCAAGAAAGCTTTTAATACCTTAAATAAACACCTATATCCATGTTAAAAATGTATCTTTACGATTTTTTAAACTAAAAGTAAATAATATTTGTTTCAAATCTGTGGGGAAAATAGAAACGGCCTACCTCGCAAACGTTCTCGCATCTTCCTGGCCTGTGGGTTGAGAAAGGAAAGAAAAGATTCAAAATGGCGTCCGTGACTTTTAATATTCACGGTCTCGTGCAGTCACGCAAAGTCGCGCATAACACATGCTAATGAGGTGTGTCTGGGCTCCATAAAAGCGGGTTGCTTGGAGACATTGGCAGACCAACATTTCACCGTGCTTGGTGTACATCGTTTTGCGTTGCAGACATTTTCAGACGGAAAGAGTTGCGTCCCTTACACTGTTTAAGCTCGACTCATTTGCTACAAGCTATTTCGCCATTATTACAGCATGGACAGATTCGACTTGAAGTTAATACCAGAGTTCGACGGCTCCCCGCTGGCCCGTCTGTGGTCGAGTGGTGGGAAAAGGCCGAGCGGGTCTGCCGGTTGTGTAAAATTAAAGATCCCGCACTGGTTATCCCTCTTAGACTCACCAAAGGAGCTTACGCTGTGTATCAGCAGCTAAGGGATGACGCAGACTTGGAGGAAATAAAAACAAGCTCTATACGCAGCATTTGGTGCGGACCCCTTTGTCGCCTGGAGGCAGTTTACCGAACGACGCTTGGACCGGATGAAACAGTAGATGTCTTTCTGGCCGATTTGAGAAGCTGGCCGCACTGTTCGGTGGAGCAAGCGACCAAATCTAGGATGCGCCTTTCTGGCAGGACTCCCAGACAACGCAAGTCGACTGCTACGAGCATCGTCAAGGCTCAATGAGCTGGGGCTAGACGAATTACTGGCCAGAGCCCGAATATTCTAAAAAAGATGACGCCGGAGCCGGCCTCAGCAGCTGTGGAAGCACCCGCACCGCCAACTGAGGAAGCAGGTGCTATAAATGGCGGACTGAACCACTTCTCCAAAGACTGCCGAAGCCGTGCGAAGGATACGCATAACCGAGGAACACGGAGACGTATGCGTTGCTACAGGTGCGACAAGCTGGGCCAAAATATGTCCGGGAAACGGGCAAGGGGAGTAAGCTTACAGCGCCAGTCTTCTCCCAGATCGCCGCTGAACAAGGCGCTACCCACAGTGAGCGTGCGGATTAACGGGCGTGAGCTTCGCGCTTGTTGACACCGGTGCACCCAGACCCTTGTGCGCAAGGCATGTTGACACGTGGGACAAGAAAATATTCCAGTTCTGACTGTTGGCGGGGCTCGCTAACCTCTTGTGGAGTGAGCGTCATCCGCGCGCAAGCATCGGCGATGGGCCTGCAGTAGCTGTACAAGCCCTGGTCGTGGACGGAGGGCTGCTCGGCTAATGATCTGCTCCTGGGAATGGACGTCATCAAAAAATTGGGTGGTGTCCGTGTTGACGAAGAGGGTCAGGCGCGTTTCACTGAAACAGGTCTAGCTCTAGGTGCAGCAATGGAGCTGGAACGGCCTGACTTTTCGTGCGGAGTTCGACCAGCGCACAAAGTCCTGGACGGTATCTTGGAAATGGTCAGACGATCAACCGCCAGAGAAGCTGTACAACAGTGTGCCGGAGTATAAGATCCCCCGCGAGCTCGTGCGGAGTACGACAAGGAATTGCGAGCCTGGATTAATAACGGTGGTTGGTTCCTTATCCAGAGAAGGAATTGGGGCCCCCAAAGGGGCCTGATCCCCATAATGGCGGTTCTCCAGCACAACAAACAAAAGGTGAGGCCGGTGCTCGACTATCGAGAACTGAACGAGCACGTGGACCCTTTTTACTGCCCGCGCGGACGTGTGTACCGAGAAGCTAAGGGAATGGCGACAAGCAGGATCAAATGTATCTGTGCTGGATCTTCGAAAGGCATACCTTCAAGTGCGTGTGCACCAATCACTGTGGCCCTATCAAACCGTGCTTATCAAGGGCAACGGTATTGCCTGACCCGCATGGGGTTTGGACTCAATGTGGCGCCATCGATTATGCAGATGATTGTTGACGCCATTCTAACGAAGGATGAGCGCATACAGCGGGCAACTTCTGCATATATTGATGACGTGTACGTGAACGAGGGAGTCGTATCTGCGGCGCGCGTGAAGGAGCATCTCTACAACTTTGGCCTCCTCAGCAAGGAACCGGAGGACTACAGGATGGTGCACGGGTGCTTGGTTTGCAGGTCTGGGGGAGAAGATAACGTCCTGTATTGGAAACGGGGAAACGAACTCCCAGACATGCCCCTCCGTTGTCACGCGGCGAAGCATATTTTTTGTGCGGCAAATTAGTTGGACACCTTCCTGTAGGTGGCTGGCTGCGTGTTGCGGTGGCGTTTATCAAGCGGAGAGCATCTGACGTCACCACTGGATGGGATGACGAAGTTCACGACGCCCCTCTCAACACCATGATGAAGGAGGTCCTCGCTAGAGTACGCAAGGAAGACCCAGCGCGGGGGGCAGATGGTGCGTTGACAGCCAAGACTCTGTGTGTGGGGTTGATTTAAGCTCTCTTGCAACCGGCGTATCGATAGTTCACGATGGAGCCGTGGTAGAAGATGCTTGCTGGTTACGTCCAGAAAGGACTCCAGCACATAAACCTAGCGGAGCTCGATGCTGTCATCAAGGGATCAACTTGGCGATCCTCTGAAGTCGACCACCCTGCGTCTGTTCACTGATTCCCGCTTGCGTTTATAAGTGGATCTCTGATACCTTGACCGGGAGGGCCAGGGTGCGGACTAAAGCCACCAGCGAGATGCTTATCCGACGACGGCTCGACACGATCGTGAATTTAGTGCAAGAGTACGCACTGACAATGGAGGTGTCCTGGTCAAATCTAGCCTCAACAAAGCAGATTGTTTAACGAGGGTGCCGCAAAGGTGGCTTGACGCCGCTAAGAAAGCCATTGAGCCCGTGCAACCAGCCTGCGCTGCGTCCGTGAGTCCTGTTCGATTTAATCAAATCAAAGAAGTCCACCAACAAAGTGGGCACCCTGGAGTCAAGCGGACACTGTATTTCGCCAAGTTGGTTGACCCAGGAGTACAAAAGACAGACGTCAGGAGAGTGGTCAGAAGCTGCGTGGCGTGCCAGTCTATAGACCCAGCACCCGTTCGCTGGAAGAAAGGGCAGCTGAGCGTGAGGAACCACTGGAGCCGGCTGGCGATAGATGTTACTCACCACAACGGCGAGCATTTCCTGACACTCATTGATTGTGGTCCATCCAGGTTTGCGATATGGCGACTGCTGCGTCGGCAAGATGCAGCCACTATCATCCGTCAGTTAAACAGCATCTTTCTTGAACGTGGCCCCCCAACGGAGATATTAACCGACAATGGCACCGCATTCACCAGCGAGCAGTTCGGGAAGTTTGCGGATGGCTGGGGAGTGCACTTACGGTTCCGGTGCGCCCACGTACCGAGTGGAAATGGAATCATCGAGCGGAACCACAGGACCGTCAAGACCATCGCAGCCAGGACGGGCTGCGCGGTGTCTGAGGCGGTCTACTTATACAACGTGACCCCGAAGGATGATGTCTCACCCTCACGGCGCCAGCAGACACATTGCATAGGTACCACGTTAGAGTGAAGGGCATAGAAACCAACCCACTGACGGAACTGAAAGTAACCGGAGAGAGGCTGAAGAAAAGTCGTCTGGATTAAAAATCCGCACAGCAAGTGAAATACGGAATCGGACCGTCACTGAGGTGATCAGCCCACAGGCGATGCTGGGTCGACGGTGTGCCCCGTCACGTTAAGGACCTGCGTCCGGCGACGCAGTTGCAACCACCGCTGGACGATGAGAGCGAATCGGAATCTGAGACCAGTGAGGCATCGCTCTGGTTCACGCCAGCCCCATCAGGCAGTGACTCAGATATCAGTAGCCTTCAAGGGACGCGGTGTCTTTCGACCCTCAGACCTCGGACAGGAGCACAAGCAACGATGAGGCTCGCAGCGTCCCTCTTCGAAGAAGTACCCGGCGCAAGCGATCACCACCTCCCTGTCAACTCTGTGATCATGAGATCAGGGGGTGTGGGGAAAATAGAAACGGCCTACCTCCCAAACGTTCTCGCATCTTCCTGGCCTGTGGGTTGAGAAAGGAAAGAAAAGATTCAAAATGGCGTCCGTGACTTTTAATATTCACGGTCTCGTGCAGTCACGCAAAGTCGCGTTACACACATGCTAATGAGGTGTGTCTGGGCTCCATAAAAGCAGGTTGCTTGGAGACATTGACAGAGACCAACATTTCACCCGTGTTTGGTGTACATTGCGCTTTTTGCGTCACCAGTTTGTAGCGGAAGGAGTTACGTCACTTACACTGATGTCATTTGAAAATTTCTCAGAATAAATAAATTC